GGGCCCCGCCGCGCCGTCCCCCAAGCAGCCCGCGGCGCCCAAGCAGCCGATGCCCGCGGCCCGAGAGCTGGAGGAGAGGTTTAACCGGGTTCTGGTGAGTGTGACCCGCCGCGCGCTGGGCGCGGGCGGGGGGCTCCGGGGGCTCGGCACGCGTCCCCGCCCCCGGGGGCTCAGGTACCGCTTGGAGATCCCCGGCCCGGTGGCTGCCCCTACAGGGGGTGGGAGTGACAGTGGCTTCTTTCAGAGTGACTTAGCACTCTCCCCCCCAAAACTTTCTTCTGCAGTCGCCCAGGCTGCCGCCCCAAGACACCCCCTTCCCCGGCGCTCCTGGGTCTACAGGTCTAAACAAAAATGTCCTGCGAGGAAGTTGGGAGCCCGGCACGCAAGGGGGTCCTGGGGCATCTCTTTCCGCACTGCACGCAGGCCCAGCCATGGGGCGCAGGTCTGGAGCATCTGCTTGTGTCTCCGGGCCAAAGATGGAAGGGTTACATTTTAACGTCCTGGGAGCTGGAGACCGAGTTCAGGTGTTTGGTCCTGATTCGTTCGTGCCTGGGCTACTGGGAGCTGGGTCCTCAGATCATGCAGAGGGAGTGTCTGTGCAGGAGAGATTGCCTGTGGGTCCTTATCTTGGACATTTCCTCCAGCCCACTGAAGGGATTAAGGTTAGGAGGGGTGGGGTCAGGATGGGTTGGTCTCTCTGGCTTGGGGTAGTGCAGAATCCTGGAACCACCCCCCACCCCCGCACCCCCCACTATCACCTGCTGGAGGAATTGGGGGGCTTGGAGACTAGGCCCCTGGGGAGAGAGCCATCAGCTCAGGCTGAGCCTGGACGCAGTCAGGGTGTGTTTGGGGAGGGGCTCCCGAGCAAAATCAGGGCTCCCTAAGACCTGGTGGGAGGCAGAAGTAGGGAGGGGGAAGGGCCACTCATTCTCACTTCCCTCTCCCTACCTCAGCCCTGTCCCAGGCTTCCTTCTCTAACTAATTGCCTGGTGGCCTGTCTGCTGTCAGCTCCCTTGCTGGACTCTGGGTGACAGGCGAATGAGGCTGTGCTTTTTCCCAGGGGCACTTTGCAGCCTAAGCAGGCAGGCACTGCAGGTCTGAGGGAGGGGGCCCAGGGGAGGTGCAGGCAGGCGAGCGATGCTGGCCCACAGCAGTGCTCAGTCCGGTGTCCCCTCCATCTCCTTGACATCATTTCCCCTCCCTTGGCCAGTCATTGGGCAGTACTCGCCAGATCCTCTGCATGGCCCCTCATAAGAGTTCCTAGAAATCTTGGCTGCCCCCTCCCAGAAGGAAGGCTAGGAGGGGTTTGGAGGAGCTATCGGGTGGGGTGGGGTCTTGTCTATCCTTGTGAAGGTACCTTGCTTGATTAGGGGAGAGGGAGGGACTCTGAGAGATACCTCACACGGGGCAGGCCCTGATTACCCCATCTCCCCACCTGCTTTCCTTTCCCCAAACCCATGGCCTGGCAAAGCTGAGCTGAGCTGAGCAGATGGGGGAGGGGAGGAGAATGAGGAGAGACAGTCTCTGGGGGTCCATCTGGGGAGCCTGAGGTGGTGGTGGATCCCTGGACCCCTGCCAGCCTGATGGGGGGGTAGGATATGAGTCTGTCTTTCCCCCCAAGTGTGTGTCTGTGGACAGGGGTGGGACAGGCCATCAGGGTGAGGTGCGGGCCCCAGTCCGCTCTCTGTTATACGCACACTAGTGGGGAGGAGCGGTATGAATAATTCAGACCAGTGGGAAATCCAAAAGTCAAATGGTGAGGTTCTGATGCATGTGTAGTTCTTGATCGCCCTGCTTGTGTTTTGGCCTTAGCTCTGATTGGCTGAGTCTGATGCTAATCGCCATGGGGAGTCCCTGAGTACCAGGGTGTGGAGGGTGGAGGCCCAGAGCCGGGTCTTAGAGGGTGTCTTGGTGGAGAAAGCAGCAGTAGCTGGGTAGGAATGTAGGGTGGCAGCACCCACTGGGGCTCAGCTTTCCACCCCAGCCCACAGGCCCCCAGTGTGTTTATACTTGGCCTTCTTTCTGGGGAGGCATCAGCCCGTCCCTTGTCCTGTGTGAGCAGAACACGCCCCACCCAAGTTCGCTTGGCTAAGAACCTGGCTCCCCTCACTCTCCACCAACAGGGGCATGAGCCCCGCCCTGGGGTGACAGCCTCGCCCCCGCCTGCAGCTGCCTGGGCTAAGTATTTGGCTAACCCCGCGGGCCTGGCAAGCAATATCGCAGGGCGCGTCTCCATCAGAGCCTGCCTCCGTGGCCAGAGTGGAGTCCTGTCCATAGTGAATGTCTATGTGGAGAAGAGCCTCCGACTGCTGAGAGTGATGGGCCCACCACCCGCCAGGAATCCCCGAGTCTTGATGGCAAATGCATAGGCCCTTCGGATATGGTCACATGGCCCCAGGGGAGCTCTTCCTTTTGCTTAATCGCAGCCATTTGGTCCCTGGTGGGGAGTAGGATCCTGAGACCCAAAATCACTCCTTGGCTCCTGGCTGTGGGACCTATCTTGTGGGTGAAGGGTGCCCCCACCAAGGCCTACCCCTAGACAGGAGATGGAGCTTGCTCTCCCTTTCCCCACCATGACCTTTCTCCCATGTGGGTGGCGGGGGGCTAATTTTCTAAGGAGGCTGTGAGAGAGAGGGGTGCCCCTGCTTAAAATGGGGGTGGGGAGAAAGAGCAGGTTGAGCCAGGGTTTCCTGCTGCTGCCTTAGCAACAGTGGAGGAGTGATGGCTGCCCAGAGACACGGGCCTGCGGTGATGGTGGGAAAACCAGCCCGCCAGACTCCACGCTCTCGCCTCTCCTGCGCCGGGCCCAAGGCTCGTGTCTTCCCAGACCTTCCCCTGGAAGGGTCGGGGTTTGGGATGACAAGGCACTCTTTCCAGGCCTTCCAGAAGTTCCATGCTTACGGCCAGGCATAGGACACCCCTGATCTGTCTGGTCAGGGAGGAGCCTGTGACCTTGGGACCAAGGGACCAAGGGAAGGTGTCCCGGATGTTGTGCTTGAGGCCGAGGGTGATGCTGATCCACATGGTTCGGAGGCCGAACCATTCGGAGACGAGTTTGCCTGCTGGGGCCTGGCCCCCTGGGCTGCCCTTAGCATGTGCCCAGGGACGTAGACATTTGGGGAGGCTGTGGGGGGGAGGTGAGGACAGCCTCACGCAGGGTGTGGATCCTGGAAGTCCTACTTTCAGCTGGACCCCTTCCCCGAACAGCAGAGGTAGACTCCATTGTGTTGGCCAGCGCTCTTCTCTGGGGCGAGGCAGATGAAGTTCGGGGAGGGGTAGCTGTAGGGGTGCTCAGGCCCTGGACCTCTCATCTCTGGGGTGTCTTACATGGAGGATCCCAATGGGGCTGGGGCCGTGTGGGCAGATGATGGCCTGGACAGGCACTGTGGGGTGACATTCTTAGCAGGCAGGGCTGGCACACGCTGACCCAGGAAACCCAAGGATGTGGTAAGCATGATTCACAGGGACATCTGGGGCCAGTTGGCAAAGAGCTGGGTAAGATGGGCAGGAGCAGGTGGGGCTGCCCTGGGGGCTACCTCTGCACTTTTCCTGGGAGCAGGGGGCCCTGGAAGGTGGCTCAGGCGTCCCCGCCTCTGAGGGGGGCAAGGGTTACTCTCGGGAAAAGCAGACTAGCTTCCTGAGCTCTGAGGTCATTACGCTGGGGGCTTGGATTTTGTCTTTGCCACTTATTACCTGGGTGACCTTGAGCAAGTTACGTGACCTCTCTGAACTTCAGTTTTGCCCACGGGTAGAAAGAGAATGCTGCTGGCCCAGGCTGGCCTCCTAGGATTGTTGAAAGATTAAGTAGAGTTTGCTTGACCCAGAGCAAGTGCTCCAGAAACTCTCCCCGACCGTGAGGAAGGGGATGATACCGGAGCAGATAGGGTCCTCTCCATATTGGAGGCCTTCTAGGCCCCTCTGGACTGTGCCTTTCCCCTCTTCCCACCTCCATTACCGAGACCCACCAAGGTTGCCAACGTCAGCCATCACAGGCCAGGCTGCCCTCGCTGCCATCGTGCAGGTCAGCAACAGTGGGGCCTAGACCCAAAACTGCCTGGTGGCCGGAAACCACGAGAAGGAGGGCCCACCTCTCCTGGAGGGTGGGGCAGTGGTGGTAACGAGCTGTGTGCACATGGGGAGGGGGTGGGGAGGCCTCCACTTCCCTCTGAGAGACGGTGTGCTGGGGGGGGTTCCCCAGTGA